GCAACAATTTAATCACAAATGACCATCTAAATCTGACTTTTCTACATTACACATTTGTTGTCACACCTGAAGGGCACAATATTAAGGAATCCTGGAGCAGTAAAAACTGTGGGTCTGATTAAAACCTGCCGAGATTATCCTCCGGATTAGCCATCCCCTTTTGGCAAATGGAAGCTGTGCATCACTGTAAAATCATTTGAGCATTCAGCAGAATATTTATCTTTCACAGTAACCAGTGTTTGTGTGCCCTCATAAAGATGAGCCAATAGGCTAAAACTAAATGTGGTTGTTTTGCATCAGATAAGCAAAATTACTCTTTTAACGTGACTGGAACGCTCTAACAGACACTGTGGGCCTATGATAACCTGTACAAACCATTTCCACCAGGCAAGTTTATCTTAATTTGTGAATACCACCATTAGCAATCCTATTAGTGCGAAAGAGACAATGTCCCACAGCAAATGCTGCAATCAATGTGCCTTTCCATTCAGCATCAGCAACCGTCTCACAGGGGAGTAAGCTAATGGGTAGAGTGGTCGAAATCCAAATAACATGTTTTCCTTTTGTCCAGTTGCTGCATTATTACTGTATGTTTTGGTAAATAAATACATTAAAATAGTCTTGGCCAATGTAACCACAGAGGTTTGTGGAGACATGTTAAATTAATAACTTCACTATCAATCAGATGGATGTTTGATAACAAAGTGCTGCTATATAAAACTAAAAGCATAATGTGGTCACAGTCATAAAGAGAACAAAATATGTTATTATTTATTTTAATAACAGACATCGATGCATGTTTTATGCATATACAGTAGACAAAGGTTTTGCTCTCGGGAGTCCTTGTTAGAACTGTGCTTTACATGAATCGTGTTTGGCCCTTTAGTCTCTAGAAGAGTATACATATAAGGTGAACAAGGTACAAAGACAATACTGTACAACATGTCCTCAACTGGCCGATAATTAGCATTTTCTGCAACTGTTCCCCACTGGATCTTTTTCTGCAGGCAATTAAACCAATGACAACAAGTGAAAACAAGCCATTAGTCCAGGTCATGTTTGCCGTTTATGAGGCACATCTTAATTCACAAAATTCCCCAAGATAGCTTTACTATTTTGCCAAAACTAGATATACCTTAGCCTTCTAGCATTTTGCAATATTTGCGAGTGCACAGACTTCTCAGTCCAGAAGTGTAACCCACTTTTATTCCTTTAATCATTAGCAGGATGCGGCACAGCTCCCCCTCGCTGTTGCTCAGATGACATGTTGTGTGAGCAAGACAACATCATCAGTTCATTAGAGAAACACAAACAGTACCCTCTCCCCTGTGCCTCTCACTCTAAAGACTGTACACACACTCCTATTGGCAGGGAGCACCCAAAGGATCTCCCGCTCCCTCTATGCTATTTACACAACATGTCGACAATATCTTGGTACAAATCTCCTGTTAACAGCTGCTGGTGTAGTAACAAATAAGCAACACATTAAGACCTATTATGTTTACAAATCCAGCTCAGAGGTTGATGCGTGTGGGAGATGTTGGGTCTGGCTCAGTAGACAGGATTTATTATATAAGGAGATTTAAATACGATAAGTGAAAACTGTTATGATAATGTTAAAAGGCAAAAAGTAAACTTGACCGTAAAGCTACATTTATTATTACTCTCCCATATCTGCGGATACCAGAAGGTTTTGGAGATTACAGACTTCCACCCCTGCCAAAACATCTGTCATTTGATGATATTCCTTAAATAATTGTATCTAAAAAAACGTGCTCCTGGTCGGTCATTTCACTTTAGCAAGGACCACACCACAAAAACAGAAAACTTTTGACAAATGTTTGATAATAGGGTAAAGCTTCGAAATAGCTGGGTGAGACTCAGGGTGGGGCCTTGGTCTCAGATGATCAACCCAGCTGTTTTGGGTCCATTTGTAGGATTGGAGGTGAAGTCAACACCAGTGTAGTTGCTAGCCATGAAAGGAAAATTTAAAACATATATTTCCATCTCAGTTAAAATATTCAGCTGCAGAATATGTAACCGTTTGCCCTCTCCCTTTAGTGACCTCCCCTGGTGCTGTGGACACAGAGCTGCTTGTGCACGTGTGCATGTGCAGCACGTGTGTATTGTGCGAGTGGGTGGTTGTGTGACTGAACGGGACACTAATAAGCGCACTGATTTTCAACTACGAAGCCTTGGGATATCATTAACTCAGCCACTATGAAACATCACATAAAGCCATCAGTCAGACGATGAGAGAGGATGCCTTTTCACACACAAAAAAACAAGCAGATTTGGAAAGTAGAAACTGTGAGCTACCTCATGACGGCTCCAACAAAAACACAATGTTTAAGAATTTGTCTGCAAAGGACATATATGATTAGTCTATAAGAACATTCTCTGGCTGTGGACCCTCAAGTGGATTTGATCTTGTCAGCCTCTGCAAGCTTGGTATTTGTACCTTGGATTGAATATTGCCCAAGGAGCCTATTTACACCGATGCAGATATAAAGCATTGATCTCAGGTCTGACATAATTCTTTATGAATAATTATATGTCTGTGTTTTTTTGTTGTAATGTCTTACAAATCAGATCAAAATTAATCTGTTATGGCCTATGGGCTAAATGTGGCACAAAATATCTGTTGCATGTGCGTTTGTGTGTGTGTGTGTGTGTTTGCGTGTGTGTGTGTGTTTGCGTGTGTGTGTGTGTGTGTGCGTGCGTGTGTGTTTGCGTGTGTACGTGTATGTATTTTAGCACTTTTTAATTTGCTACAATTCTTGTGAATTATTCTGTCAAAGCTACCCCGGAGCATAATGACAGAAAACCAAGCACACACCATATTAATTCCAAAAATCTGGGTGAAGTGTCATGCCTAAGAACACGCCAAAGATACAACCACAATTTGTACCTTGGAGCCACAGCATCTCTCTGTCTTATTCCCAGCAATCAGCCATCCAAATACAAGGTCCCACACTTCTTCGCTTGAGAGGTTGGACTAGCTTCTAGATTAATTCAACCTTGAAGCACCAGATATCCACTGCCTCTGAACCGGGGCTGCAGGTACAATTTTCTGGGCTTGGTACACGCTGTAGCCTCTGCATTACCCACACAAAGACTATAACATCAAAAGTTACATTATGCTCGAAAATAAATGTCATTATATGTATTTTCATACAATTCCTATATGGATGATCATGATGAAAACAGTTGTGCTCAAGGACACGATGACAGCATTCTCTGCAGAGTGGAGCAGACTGATGATGTTCGCAGGATTTGAACCACAAACCTTTTGATTAGGAGAAGCCTGCTCAACCATCTAGCTACAGCTACAGCTACAAACATGCATCTCCCCCCAGTAAGATGGCTCTATCTCTATGGCTCCCATCTTACTGGGGGGAAGATGGTGTATTTCTTGGTGAATCTTTTCAACAACTCAATGAATGCATTTCTATAGTTATCTTGACATTTAGAGCACATTTCATTATGACATATTTCCAGGCATTCCTCTCTCTACTTTTTACAACCATTGTTCTTTTTTCTTTGAGACCCCTTGGAACCCTTCACCGGCATTTCTCTTCACTCCCAATGGTGCGAGGTCAGAGCGTACCCCACAAGAATAAACCAGCCCTCAACTGATGTCATCCCCCTCGCTGTTCTTTCTCTGCAGCTTCCCTGTGTCCTACAGACCAGAAACGGGTCTATTCAAGCCCACATCCCCCCCCCCATGCTGCACCCCTAACAGGTCAATTCTCTGCCTTATTGCTCCTGCTCCGCCTTAAAGAACCGAGGACACACTGGGAAATGAACTAGCTTTGTGACATATAGTGGTAATCACGTGGTTCAGGATTCTGGGGTAAGTGTTTAACAAGAGAAAAGGTCAGAATGTGTAAAATGTCTCTTAAAGAGCTCCAAGTGGCCATCCTGTAATGAAAATGCCTGCACAGTTTTAAAGATGTTTTCATGAGTTTGGCCCCATAGGCGGTTCTTCAGTCTAATCCGCATTGTGCCCTGTCTTTATACAGTCCATAGCTGGCTTCTCAAGCTCATCTCCAGCACTGTTTAATCTTTCAGTCGCTTTCATTGGGACCACACCATGTGTTGATTGTGGACAAATGGAGCGGATACCTCATTTTGAGCTAGAATGAGCTGGGGGATGCTTTGTCTGGCGAGGAATGCCCATAAGCCCATAAGACAGAGACGACCACTGTTTTTGGCTGTGTGCGCAGCTATACCAGGACGGGATAGAGCCATGGCAACGCAGCAGCAGGTCTGCAGGGGTATAGGCTGGTACAATACTCAAGCTTGGGGTTTGTCATTCCAGTCAGGCCTGACCCAAATCAGCACATCCTGGGAACCACTGGCCTTCAACCCGCACTCATGCACTCACTAACTTAAATGAGCTTTTATTATTTAGCTGTTGGCAATAGCAAGTAAACATAAGGCTGTTTGAAGTCTAATTACTGACATTTTTGTGTTTATGATTTAACACCACAGCCTGTAGGATTTTTTGTTTGTTGACGCAGTATATCTCCAAGCTCTCCATCTGCATTGCCTCCATGAAATTAAATGCTTAATTCTACACGTTGCTTAAGAATCTTTTATGATTTCATATGTTTATTATCTACCATCAACAGCTGTGGGAAAATCTGCTTTAAATGAGAACAGGCTACAGCAACAAATAAGTTATTAAGACCATGTCAACAGTGTTTTTTGCCGTTCTAATTGTCACTAAAAGCAAAACATTAAGACAAATGCACAAATGCAAATGCGACTTTTGTTAGCAAATTAACTTGTGAATGAACTTCCTCAACAAACTTCAGGACATAGACAGAAGAGACATGAGAAACCATACAAAATAACTTGTTTTGGAAGAAATACAATCAAATTAAACGTGTATACTCAAATCACCAAAATAGGCTTAGAACTTGTTTTTGCACAAATGGCATACCTCGTACCAAATCTCTGCCATGTAAATGATGTAGAGGAAAAGCACTTACTTTATCAGGGCGGTCTGGTAGTTGTATCAAAGTTTGGAGAAGTAGTTTCGGTGAGCTCTTTTCATCTGCACTTGTGCCTCTCTGCTTCAGCCACTCCAAAACTATTTCTGCTGCCTGTGGGCTGTGTAGACGCTGGCTCTGTGTCACAGAGTGTGTTGTATTGAGTGTGTGAAAGAGTTTGGTTGGCTGTCGAATGCTGTGTTTCCTGACTCGTGATCAAGAGCTCATTACCCCCAAGGTCACTCCTGGGACGTCCTGCCTAGCACTCAGTCTCACACCAGAGACAACATGTGAGATGACAAATGGCAAAGGCAGGAGGAAAGCAGCAGGAGCCAAAGTGCAACCAAATCTATAAACCAAATCAAAGTAGTCAGTAGAATTTACAGTAATATAACACAACACAAATGGACCATTCTATGAGTAAATAATGGTGGTCAATTTTCACAGTTATGTAAAAGATTGTTGATCCATGGAAAATGCTTTCGCACCAATCAATATGGTATTGACACACGCCAGCTGGGCAGAGTATTTATTTTCACTTTTTTTGTTGCTGCCAACGACAAAAAGCATTTTGATGATTTTCTTCTTCATCGTCCCAGTATAAGCCATTGGACATGGTTTTGCCGAGGATCCATTTATAACAGTTAGAATTCTGAATACAACAAAATCAAATTATGCATGTAAAATTACAGTGCAGATTAAACTAGAAGAGTGAAATCTGTGTCTAATAAAAACATGTTCACTATTTTTCTTTTTCCAAACATAAACACACACACATCCCCATATACACACATCCCCATACACACACATCCCCATACACACACATCCTCATACACACACATCCCCATGCACACACATCCCCATATACACACATCCCCATATACACACACATCCCCATATACACACATCCCCATACACACACATCCCTATACACACATATCCCCATACACACACATCCCTATACACACATATCCCCATATACACACATATCCCCATACACACACATCCTCATACACACACATCCCCATACACACACATCCCCATACACACACATCCCCATACACACACATCCTCATACACACACATGCTCATACACACACATCCTCATACACACACATGCTCATACACACACATCCCCATACACACATATCCCCATATACACACATATCCCCATACACACACATCCTCATACACACACATCCCCATATACACACATCCCCATACACACACATCCTCATACACCCACATCCCCATACACACACATCCCCATACACACATCCCCATACACACACATCCTCATACACACACATGCTCATACACACACATCCTCATACACACACATGCTCATACACACACATCCTCATACACACACATCCTCATACACACACATGCTCATACACACACATCCCCATACACACACATCCCCATACACACATCTTCATACACACACATCCCCATACACACACATCCCCATACACACACATCCCCATACACACACATCTTCATACACACACATCCCCATACACACACATCCCCATACACACATATCCCCATGTACACACATCCCCACACACACACATCTTCATACACACACATCCCCATACACACACATCCCCATACACACATATCCCCATGTACACACATCCCCATACACACACATCCCCAATACACACATCCCCATACACACACATCCTCATACACACACATCCCCATACACACACATCCCCATACACACACATGCTCATACACACACATCCCCATACACACATCCTCATACACACACATCCCCATACACACATCCCCATACACACACATCCCCATACACACACATCCTCACACACACACATGCTCATACACACACATCCCCATACACACACATCCCCATACACACACATCCTCATACACACACATCCCCATACACACACATCCCCACACACACACATCCTCATACACACACATGCTCATACACACACATCCCCATACACACATCCTCATACACACACATCCTCATACACACACATCCCCATACACACACATGCTCATACACACACATCCCCATACACACACATCCCCATACACACACATCCTCATACACACACATCCCCATACACACACATCCTCATACACACACATCCTCATACACACACATCCTCATACACACACATGCTCATACACACATCCCATACACACACATCCCAATACACACACATCCTCATACACACACATCCTCATACACACACATCCTCATACACACACATCCCCATACACACACATCCTCATACACACACATCCTCATACACACACATCCCCATACACACACATGCTCATACACACGGATCCAGGGGAGAACAAAAAGATACAAAAAAGACGTTCATTTGAATAGGTATAAAACTGACACACCACAATGCTGGCTACAGACTGGCTGCAGGAGTTTTTTTTGTCTCATTAGATTTTTATCTGTGACACAGACCACAGACAGAAGGAGAAGCTGAAACTATTTTCTGTCTCACAGTCACTTCACTTGTGATTTCTGTAGAATGGCTGATTCCTGGATTCCTTTTACGTTGAGCGTCGTAATTTCATTTGAACAAAAACCTGGACAAACACTGTCTCATACAATATGTCTGCCCCAAAAAATGTGAATATATTTGAGAATTTACACCTTTTGATCCACATGTACCATCTACAAACTTCAACGAGGGATGTGGCAATAAAGGGGCCTAAATATTTCAAGTTTTCATGCTGGTCCCCAATGTTTACATTTTTGTAATAGTAAGACATAGTTGGCTGAGTGGTTTGCACTCTCACTTCTCAGCATGAAGGCCCTGAGCTCGAGACTCCAGACTGAGCCTGAGTTTGCATGTTCTCCCCGTATCCGCATAGGTTTCCTCAAGGTGCTCCGGTTTCCCCTACCACTGAAAACATGGACAATAATCCCCAGAACACCATCCCTGACCCCACTCCTGCCTCCCTCTCTCTGGGACAAGGACTCCCCTGAAAATGACAAGGCAAGTTCATTTGTATAGTTCATACACAAAATGCTCAAGGATTTAACAAAACAAGATAGAAACAATCACACTAGGCATTAAAATTCAAAATAATCACAGTACATTTATTGAGAGTTCCGCTGCATACGTCTGTAAACCCGCTGATAGAACAAGGCTGTGTCACTGCTGACGGAGCAGCCATCTTCCAGTGGATCCACCACCTGCAGAGGATCAACGAAGGACTGGTGTTTTGAAACTTGGTTGGCAAATGAATGAACATCTGTAATGCTGCCTCCCCATTTTGAGTCCTGACCACCAGGACTTCAGTCCCTGTGCTCCTCAGAGTCTGAGTTGATTAATATCACTCCAACATGTCACAACTGTACTTTGGTGCGTGAAACATAGATCAGAGTGTTGTCTGTTAAGTTGTGAGTAGCATGTAGAGATTGAACAGAAGGGGTCTCAGGATCGACCCTACAGTACCACAAGTCCGGTCTCCACAAAGTACTTCCTGTTTCTGGATAAGACTCAAGCAAACATACAGCAATGCAACACCCACCCAGTCCCATAGTCTCTGAAGATGATCTCAGGATCAACAGTGTCAAAGGCAGCACTCAGGCTTTGCCTGCGTCAGTGTTCAGCCAGAGCCATCTCTGGTGGGGTCTAAATCCAGACTGGAACAAATAAAAAGGAGTTGCTGATTATGAGAATCGGCCATCCTCCTGTAGACTCACCACCTGCAGGAGGATCAGTGAGGGGCTAGAGCGGGTGGCATCTCTGGCCAATCCCCTGACTCAGAAATGGATTAAGGAGTAGAAGATGGATGAATGGATAGTTGATTAGGAGAAATTGGGCAACACATTTTTCAAGGATTTTTGCTATAAATGAGAGATAGTTCTTTTTGATTAGGAATCTGATGACTGCAGTTTTTGGGAATGTTCTGCTCTGTGGACTGGGTGCTGCTCTGACTGCCACCCACCGACCCAGAAATGGATTAAGGGGAAGAAAATGGAGTGGATATTTCTTGTGTCTGAGGAATCTCGGCACCCCATCTTAAAATTAATCTGCTTTGTCGATATAGTAAATGTTTGATTTTTTTGTACGACATAAAAACTCCATTAGGGCAAATAACATATATCTAAAATCGTTTTCAAATGTTAAACAAAAACAAGAAGTAAATTAGAAACCTTTTGGAGTCCATTCTGTCCGCCATCCCACAGACATTTTGAATATATTTGATCCTAAAACACACAATTATGAGTCATATTTTTTAAGACTTGTTATAAGTTATAATTGTATTTTTACCTGGAGGATTGGGAATGTTCTTGGTCATTATTTTAATTCTTTATGTTTTACATTTGGAGTAGTTTTATCTCCCAGATATGAGCCGCTGCTAGTTTCATAGCACGCACTGTTTTAGTTAGCAGGAGTAGCATTTAGCCTTTCATCTGTTTTTCAAGTTATAATTCACCAGTTTTTAGCACTTAGTAAAAGTGATGACAATCAATTCAAAACAAAAAACCATGTTCAGGGGTAATTACTCAGATTTCATCAGGTTTAAAAGGGAGCAGTGAAAATGGCCGGCTCAGAGTAGTAATATAATTCATATCCATAATTGAGATTTCAAAAGTTATATAGTTTAGTTACTATAGTCTAGTATAGTGATGTTAGTATAGTGTCAGATAGTATAGTGATGTTAGTTATAGTGTAGTGTAGTGTAGTATAGTTATAGTATAGTATTAGTATAGTGAAGTGTAGTGTAGTATACGTGTTAGTGTAGTGAGTATAGCGTGTAGTCTAGTATAGTATAGTAAAGTAGAGTTATAGTGTAGTATTAGTATTGTATAGTAAAGGTAGAGTAAGTGTAGTATAGTATCAGTTTTAGTAATAGATAGAGTATAGTCTTAGTATTTGTATAGTGTAGTATGTGTAGTGTAGTGTAGGTATAGTGTAGTATAGTATGTATTAGTATAGTGTAGTGTAGTGTAGTATTGTGTGTCTAGTCTAGTATAGTATAGTATAGTATTAGTGTGTGTAGTATAGTATAGTATAGTTAAGTTTAGAGTATTGTGTAGTATTTTTTAGTAAATAGTTAGTAAAGTAGAGTATTGTGTAGTATAGTATAGTATAGTCTAGTGTTGTGTAGTGTTGTATTGTACTAGTGTAGTATTAGTATAGTTATAGTGTAGTTTAGTAATAGTATCTAGTTATTGTATTGTATAGTAAAGTAGAGTTTAGAGTAGTTTAGTTTAGTATAGGTAAAGTAGAGTATAGTGTAGTATAGTATAGTATAGTATAGTGTAGATATAAGTATTATTATTAGAACAGTTGTTGTTTTAGTATAGTATAGTATAGTGTAGTGTAGTAATAGTATAGTAACAGTGTTGTTTAGTTATAGTTAGTGTAGTGTAGTATAGTTATAGTTT